TTGGCCACATACAGAACATTTTCAGGAGTTCTTAGCTAGCTGTTAAAATATTTCTGCTGAGGTTGTTTGAAACTTACCTCTCTAGGGAAGCTGTTTGGAAATACAGTGTTACATTACTGAGTACTCTTGCAGTAAAAATTGGTTTCAAATGGAATTTTGATAGCACGTTTCCTTGCTTTTCAAACAGGAATGAATCACAGTATCTTAGTTGATATATTTTCTTTCAAGGCTACCTGAGGCATCTGAGCCAAGTTCTACCTTATCGCACTCCAAGCATTTTCTCTACATAGCTTTATAAAAGGAGCAACAGTATTGTACAAATACAGCGGGGAAACTGAAAAATCAAACCAGTTACATCTAAGTAATCAAGGCCTAACTTCAGAACTTGTTTATACACTTTAGATTCCAATGAGAGGGGGGAAGAGGTCTGCTTTACTTCAGTAGCAGTTTTTTACAAGTTCTTTTTTTTGTGGTACTACAGTCATGCTGTTTTGTAAATTTAAAGAAAAACGCGTGTCATTAGATATTTGTGTCAACCTTTAATAATTGGTTAAATAGCGATTTAAGAAGTCACAAAGTCTGCTCCTCAGAGAAAAAGCTAACTCTTGTATCCTTCCAGTTACAGAAAAGATTAAAATGCAGACAAGCAGTACGTTTGCAAAGCTAAACCTGTAGATACAACAGTTAAAATACAACAAAGCTATTTATTAGATCATTTTAGACCATGATAGTCTTCATACACTTGTATTCCAGTGATGCCAGTTACAGTCCATGTGTTTTAACTAGCAAATGTCATCGGTGTTCTGTTGCCAGTGCAGTAAGACAACAGTTGCAGAGCCCCTCGTGTGAGCAACAGGCTTGCTATGGTCTGTGCAGTAGTGACACAGTCTTCAATAATTGTGTAATGGTACAGAAATGGTGACACTCTTCATGGGACTGAAAGTATTTCCGAAAGTTAGCATTTCTAAATTTGCTTTAATTTTAAGGGGAGACACACACTCGGGTATCACTGTCCTGCATAAGATTCTGATCTAAAATGAAATCTTAACTGCTGTAGACATCCTTGTGATTTAAGCTGGCACTATTCAGGATCCACGAGGCTGTCGAACTGGTCTGCATGCAGCTGTTTGACGTCTAAGCTGAACTGACATCTGGCCCTCTAAGGGAAGCCAAGCTGTCGATAGCCAGACTTACCCATCTGTCATTCTTTGTAAGCATAAAATTCTTCAGTGGATTGTACTGAATGGGAAAGGTTTAAGGTAAACAAGTTAAGCTGCAGAGTAAGCAAGAATGGGCAGGACTATATATTGTGGTGTGCTCTCTAGGAGTCACAGTTCAGAACTGCTGAACAAAATGCAAAATAACAGACAGCAGACTTTGAGGACTTGTTCCCACATAGCGTAAAGCACAGGGTTTGAGACTGGATACTTTTTCTTTAAAAAGCACGCTGTAGTTCAAACAAAAACCTTAATTATTCAGACTAGATGATCACAGTGACTTTTATGTATTGTTACACCAAGACAAGACTCAGCAAGTAAAACTTTCAGCAGGGAACTGCAGTCAGTGCAGTTGACGCAGGAAGGCAGCATTCAGAAATTTTTACCTTTCCTTGGGCAAAAGTATCTGCAAGTGCGTGAAGAGCCATGGAAGGTGATGTGACCAGTCCCGAGTACTCAGCACCTTGACCGAATCCCAGGGTGTTGTCTCAAGGCAAATTTTATACAGCAGAAAGAAACTGTGACAACCTTTGGTGTCAAATTTTGTAGACAACGCCATAGCAACCTTTCATTTAAAAAAAACCCAAAAGTTTCCCTTCCATGTGGCAGAGCAGCGTGCAGGAAGGTGCCAAGTCCTGTGGTTGGGGATGAAAATAGCTCTTTGGTCTGTACCTTGCAGTGAGAAGCAGGTGTTTATACAGAGCTCCACTGTAGCGTGGTCCTGATTTAGCATTTAAAGCTACAGGTTCCAAGTCACTGTCTCTTCCTGTAGGTTAGTTCTGTAAACTAGCATTTGTTCACTTTGTGCTTCCTTTAATGTCAACTTTAAAAAAATAACAACTTGGGGTATCTTGTCAAGTACAGTATGCACGTGGGCACGCTGGTTTGCACCCAATGCCACACATCCCTTATTTAACAAAAAAAGCCTGACAAGTCAGCTACAAATGTTAATCACTGAGGAAGTGATGGTGGTCAGGTACTCTGCCTTTGCTAGGAAGAGCCTCTGTGGCATGGTTGTCACCTTTAGCAGATGAAATGACCGTGTGCATCCATCCTTTAACAGAAATTTGTTAATCGCTGTTTTCCTGAAATTTGTGTAAATCATGCAGTTACCCAAGCTCTGTTTATCTGCTGAGCTTTATGCCCTTTCCCATTAGGATAAGTTTAGAAAGTGAGGGGCTCCACTCTGAGCCTCATGGCTCAGGGGGAGGATCTTCCTTACTCTTTGCATCTCTGGTGTCTGTGACTAATTCTAACTCAATTTTCCTCTGTATGCGTCCTCCATGTGGCAATTAATAAGGTGAACCTTGTCAAACCACTTTGTTGAATTTACAGAACTCCACCAATTATTTTACCTCAATAAAACTTAGTGCTGCTGCTCTCTTCTGAGCGAGGTGCATTCCACTCATCCGTGACAAGAGGGTATCAGAATTTCCAAAATGTCAGTGTTCAGCCTTAGTCAGGTCTAGCGTTGTGACAGCAATGCTCAAGGAAAAACAGAAAGCAAACAGGTTTCTTCCTGGTGGAGATGCATGCCTTTTCCAGTGCAGCCTTTACAAAACATACCAACAATTAATTCAGACTTAAACAAGACCACAGGAAAGCAGCCACCGTTTACCGAAGCAATGCTACCCAAAAGGAGGCACATGGAAGTGAAGTAAAACACCCACATGGACTCAGTTGATACAATTTGTCGCACTCTAAAGCTGAACCAGTTTTCTTGATGCTTTTTCAAGCATCAACTTTTTATCTGGCTTAGTGTCTGGAATCATGTTAGCACTTCTCTCTGCTCTCAGCATAACCAAAGGACACTTTTCCCTGACTCTCTCTAGACCAGTTTGTGTTACGTTCCGGCAGAAATCCACATGGAGCGTTCGCAGTGATGTCCCATACAGGGTCACTGCTTCCAGGGTCTGGTCAGTGATCCGCACACAGTTTTCCAGTTTGAGTGTCTTGAGGTTTGGGCAGCTCTTGAGAAGCAGCAAGATGCAATCGTCTGTGACATGGCCGCACCCAGAGAGGGTCAGAGATAGGAGGTTTGGACATCTGAAAACAGGATCGTTACAGGTGAGCTGAGGGGAAAAAGTAAGTAATAAAGAGGGCTGGGAGAAGCTAGTATTGTTAATAAATATGAAAGTTAGTAAAGTGTGCCCTTTTCTATCAGGAGGGTGAAAGCAAGCATGAGTGGGTGGGGAGCATATATAGACTGTAATGTTCAGCTTTACTGATTGCAAAACTTACCTTTGCTTTTTTCTGTTGGTAGCAACATGTGTCACTCGTTTGGCATAGTGGAGAAGGGGACATGGATGCCTATTTAAACTGCAGCTGCATTGTTTAATCTTAAGGAGTTGCATTCAAGTCAGGATGAATTTGAGTGAAGAGGCTGCTGTGTAGACATGCTGAGCATGGGCAAGTAAGACATTCCTCTCCTTGATTTTTT